CACTTGACAACATAATCAAACGGTTGGCCGTACTTATTGTAGTGTTGCGGTGATTTGTCCACACACTAAATACACACACACACACGAAGAAACACCTTTGGACTTATGAACATCTCAGTATTTGCCCATCACTTCACACACACATCTGTGTGTGTGTGTGTGTGTTGTCTCTCAGTCGCACATCGCTGCTCCAATCAATTCCGAGGGAAACAACGCAATTTCTAATAAAACTCTAATACCCTCTTAGGGGACATTGCATCGAACAGCCGGGTCCCCCCGGGGATCAGCAAAGAAAAACATAATTATGCTATTTAGCCGGCTGATGTGTCGCAATCACTGCTCCAGCACACTCTGTCAGATTAAAATAGAGGGGCCTGTATAGAGGACATTAAGGCTGAGGGAATTTTATAAACCCCAGGGGAGATCTCTCACTGGAGGAGGAGGGAAAAGTAAACTATGGAGATTAATGGCGGCCATAAACAAGAGCATGCTGTCCCACTTCAGTGGAGGTCAACGCTAACAACAGCCATAATAATAACAATGATAGCTGTGATGATGATGAAGACAATGGGAATAATTAGATGAGTAATGATTCACTGTCCTTTAATTCAGGGCTACTTTAAATGTACAGTAAGCGTGTTATTTCTATCTGTATGTGTGTGTGTGTGTGTGTGTGTGTGTGTGTGTGTGTGTAAAGCATATATTATGTCGTGTTTTGTCATGGGGCCTATGTCTTGCCTGGCCTACTTGTCCAGACAACAACATAATAATAATAATAATAATAATTCGTATATGTAATATACAAAGACCGATTGTATTTCAATACTTTAAGATTAGGATCTCTCCACCATGTCAGTCTTGTGTTTGTGTTTCTTGTCACAGCTCCCATAATAATCATAATTAAGATCAGTGTGTGTCCAATTGGCTTCACTTCTTTTAATCCACGCCATTCGATCAGTGAGGAGCTTCCGTGACGGATTAACAAAGAGTCCCTCCTGAAATCAGGAGCAAGTGTGACACCTACCTGCAGAAGTTGGAAGAGTTAGAGCAGAGTGGAGCGCCTCACTACACGGACGGCTCTGCACTCACTGCAGAGAGAGAGAGCGCGCGTGTGTGTGTGTATCACAAAGTAATCTCTCTCTTTTTATACTCCAAAACAGCAGTTTTACTTCCACATCTAACGCGCCATTAAAGAGACCCTTCATTAATGACACATAATGGGCCAGTATGTTCTAAATGCATGGACGCGTCTCTTTTTAAACAGCTCTGCCACGCCTTGGAATATAGTAATGAGGTCTAAATTTGGCATAAAATCCAGCTCATTACCGGGTTCACCACCTGATTGCTTTGCATAAAACACGATCGGTAATTGGGTTAAACGACTGCGCCTCGGTGATGTTACTATATCAATATACACTTTTTGAAACGCGATAACATAATGCAAATAACTCAGGCCCTGGATGGAGTTTCAGAAAATAACAAATGTGACCTAAGGATATTTAATTCTTCCATCGTGTGTGTTTTTTTCTCATCTTCTGTTTCTTTAATATTTCTAAACCCTCTGTTATTTTATTCTGTGATGATAATTACCACTGAAACATATGTCACGGTGCAAAATTGAATTAATAACCACGTATAAATCATTTAAAAATTATAGTCAACATCAAAATACTCAGCATGTTCCCCAAATAATCGCTGCACAGGCATAACAACCTTTTTTTTTCTCATAATTTACTTCAAAGATAGTGTGTTGTCCATTTTAAATACAAAATGCTACATTAAATATACATGTTAGTCTTTAATACAAATAGACTCAGGCGGCTGCAGCGGTTAAGACCATTCTTGTAACATTTGTGGATTAACCATTCAGACACTAAAAATTTTCAGGATAAGCATTTACTCAGAAAATAACTGTTCTTAGATTTTTGAGTCGTCATTCTTTTCTGTCTGTCTCTCTGTTTTAAATGTAGCCACAGAAAATAAATAAAAAGTCCGAGTGAGTGGAAAATAATCAGGTATTAAATGTTTGACATACCTTTCTTTAGTTCATAAGGGGAGTCTTTACAAAGATCTACCTGCGTTTGGCCTCTGACTTTCTGGCTCTCTCTTACCAAAGCCTCTGCTCTATTTAACACAGTCTGGTTTAATCCATTGAAATGTGCCGTGGAGCCCGTGGTTACCGAGCCGTGGTTGCTGTGAAGGTGTCCAAAGCTGCCCCCATAGTTCGTGTAGCCGGGGTAGAACGGGGAGGTGTAGTACAGAGGCCTGGACAGAACCGTGCTGTTGGGGAGCGGACACTGGGGGGAAGACCGTGATGGAGACGCGTTGGTGCCCATGACTGCGCTCTGACCCAAACCGGGACAAGGCTGAGGCGCGTCGCTGCTACTGCTGCTGCTGCTGCTGCTTTTACACCTGTCCGAGGACGCGGCGATCTCCGCCAGTGACCACAGCGT